CTCCTACCCTCCCGTCTAAAGAATTTCTATAATGGGTGACGAGAAGGGTGGAATGGCGAAACCTATGACACTGACTAGTGTGTTAAGTACAACATTCACCAAATGGTTTCAATGACATGGTTGCTTTGAGATTTTGCTTTGAGTTCATTGACATAAAGATACCGTTCACCATGGTATTCATTGTTTTCTGAAGTTGATGGAAGTTGTGGTTTCAAACTTTCATACTTACTCAGTGACATCTGAAGTGCTGCTGCCAGCATCATGTGGTTTCTTCCTTAAAAAGAGAAAAGTGAATTTGTGACAACACAGTACATGTAGATAATGCATGGTCTTATATCAAAACTGAAAGTCTTTGATTAAACTTATTTAACAAACTCAATTGGACTTCTTAATTTCCCGGTTCACATTGGGAGGTATCTTCCAATCACCGTTGAATGTCGACATTTTGTGAAGGTTAAACTGGTGCCAACTTACTGGTTCTGAAGACACGGTGTAAAACACGCAGGAAAAGAAAACGCAATGATCTCGGTAAGCTACATTTAACCATTTCTCTGACAAAGGATTATGGGCAAAAGACAAAACCGTTTATGCACGGTAGCCGCCTAAAGATAAAGAATAGTGAATTTCCATTGGACTTCCCCTGACGTTATCCTCTGCACACGACCTGTACTCTTTCAACAGCCTGGAGTGGCGAGTTTGACGACTAATAAATTACTTTCTTGTGTGTGGGATATCTTTTAAAGTAGATCCGATTTCATTTGAGAACATACGGAAGCGTATAAAGGCCACTTCCAAAATTCGTTTTAGAGTTACATGTATTATCTCGCCATGGCGATTTGGATAGTTGAATGTGTATCTCGCAGCGGCGAGTCATAAGATCTTGTCTCTGCGTCAAATTGATATCCCACCGCAGCGAATATTTCAATTGTTTCGTAAGCCCTATAAAGCGTGCCGTTTTCAAATGCATCCTAGGATGAAATGCATTCGGATTTAGTTTTACATTGCTAATTGAAACAGAAATGGATGTTACATTTCAAAAAAACTTGTTTTCTTTTGTTGAAACGTTTGGTTGAAACTTTTTTCATCACATTCAGATGAATGGTAAGCTGTTTGTAATTCCTTCCTCCATTTTCCTAGTGCCAAACACAAGCAAGCGGACTTGAAAATTACATTAAATCTTGAACTTTCATCAGTCGAAATTTATTAATTTATAGTACTCAAAATGGGAGATTAAAAACTACTTTTACAAACACAACGTATGAAATACCTCACAGCATTGAACGCTCAAACCAATATAAGTGAACA